CACTGTGACACACAACACTGCGACACACAACACTGCGACACACAACACTGCGACACACAACACTGCGACACACAACACTGCGACACACAATACTGCAACCCACAACACTGCGACCCACAACACTGCAACCCACAACACTGTGACCCACAACACTGTGACACACAACACTGCGACACACAACACTGCGACACACAACACTGCGACACACAATACTGCAACCCACAACACTGCGACCCACAACACTGCAACCCACAACACTGTGACACACAACACTGTGACACACAACACTGCGACACACAACACTGCGACACACACCACTGCGACACACAACACTGCGACACACAACACTGCGACACACAACACTGTGACACACAACACTGCGACACACAACACTGCGACACACAACACTGCGACACACACCACTGCGACACACACCACTGCGACACACAACACTGCGACACACAACACTGTGACACACACCACTGCGACACACACCACTGCGACACACAACACTGCGACACACAACACTGTGACACACACCACTGCGACACACAACACTGCGACACACAACACTGCGACACACACCACTGGTAATATGTGAAATTTGAGTTACTATAAGCATTAAATAACAGAAGTAATGTTTCGGTGTGTAAGTTATTATTAATTTTTAATCTCACTTCATTTCTATAAGTGCAAAATGTTGAGTGAAAGAGGGCAGCAGGTGCAAGGAAACACGTTTTGCCCCTCCCGGGGACTGAACCATAACCATCGTCCTTTGAGTTTTTAGCCGAATGCGGAAATTGACCGCTAAGCTGGTCAATTGGAAGGTAATGTGGTCAGAAGCGTGTCGAAACCTGAGTGTGTCTATCTACACACAATCAGGTGTGTGTGTAGACACTCATAGCAGACATTTTTAGTGTACACAGGCGTGTGATTAGACAGTGTAAGTACATAGTGTACAGTGTACACAAGTATATGTAGACAGTGTTGACGCAGTGTACACGTTCAGGTGTGTCTACAAGTTAAGATTGCCTGAGCACTAATCACCTTCCTGATTGGCTATTCACTGAGGTACCAGAATACTTCAGCGCTCCTCACCCTCCTGACTGACTCTTTAGCAAGGTACCAAGATACCTCAGCGCTCTTGAGATCCTGACTGACTCTTTAGCAAGGTACCAAGATACCTCAGCGCTCTTGAGATCCTGACTGACTCTTTAGCAAGGTACCAAGATCACCTCAGCGCTCTTGAGATCCTGACTGACTCTTTACAAGTACCAAGATACCTTCAGCGTCTTCAATTCGATTGACTCTTTAGCGAGGTACCAAGATCCCTCAGCGCTCTTCAGATTCTGACTGACTCTTCACCGAGGTACCAAGATAAGGTAGAGAGGATAACCACTCGAAATATTCGCGGGAAGCGCTAAACCCGTAGGGATCATAAATTTATATTTTTCTTCAATGCGAAGTATAATACGCAGAATGATTATTATTATTGTTTATATTATTATTATTATTACTAACATTTTTACATTAGTAGCATTATTATTATTATTATTATTATTATATTTTTTCATTAGTAACATTTATTATTATTATTATTATTATTATTATTATTGTTATTATTATAATATTTATATTTCTCTTCTCTGGAGGTGGTAGAGCCGACAGGGTGATACTGCGCCTGGTAGATGGTAGATACTGCGCCTGGTAGATGGTAGATACTGCGCCTGGTAGATGGTAGATACTGCGCCTGGTAGATGGTAGATACTGCGCCTGGTAGATGGTAGATACTGCGCCTGGTAGATGGTAGATACTGCGCCTGGTAGATGGTAGATACTGCGCCTGGTAGATGGTAGATACTGCGCCTGGTAGAGTCTTACTGACCCCAGGATGTATTCATTTAAATATCACGTACGTGCAAGTTCCTCCCAAGAAGTTCATTACTAGTCATCCCTTCCCGAAGTCCTTGCCTAACTGTTAGTAATACAACTCAAATTATATACACTGATGGATCTAAGCAGGGAGGGCAGCATCTGCTCCTGTTGCCACCTCCCTAATTAAAAACGATAGAAACTATGCTGAATTAGGTATAAAAATTAACGACTGCGCGCGCCTTTATTGCGAACTGAATTGTTTGCCATCCTAATGGCGTTAATGTTAACTTATGACGCTGAGCCTGATTATTACTGATTCTGTATTATCTCTGAAGACTCTTGACTCACTGACTTTAACAACTTGCTCAGTGGAGAAGACAGATATAGATATTAAAATATCCGGAAAAAAATAATGTACAATTGTTATTGATTCCATCATACATTGGATTACTCCTTCATGATAAAATTGATACCTTAGCCAAGAAAAGTATCATGAAGGAGAATGAAGAATATAACTCTGGTGTGCCTCCGTTTAGGAATAATATTAGAAGAGAATTAAATAATGAAACTGGATGTTATAGGAATGCAGTTAGAAGCCTGAGTAGATCTAACCCACTATGATATTATGAATATACATAAGTACGTTTATGGAGCAACTTGCAGTGTGAACACTGACCGATGTTGTGGCCAGGTTTAGGCTTGGTTACAAGTACTTTTGGCAGTTTGGCAGAAATACAGATAATGATTAAACTAAATGCAAAGTACATGGTCAGCCCTATGGTCACTATCTTGAACACTATGCTTAATTCTCCACTTATATTAAAGAATGTAGAGATAGGCAGTACAATAGCCTTTGTGATGTGTCACGATATCTTATTAATGATGATAAGATATCAGGCATATTAAGTAAATTCCTTAAATTTAGTTGCAACGGATAAGTCAACTGTAGTTATAAATCAACCTGTGCTCCTGTTAACTCTTTTGGGGCTTAGCTCTTGGGCCTTCTGTGTATCCCTATGTTCTTGCGCTACCCTCCACACGATACATACGGATGCACAATTAACTAGCCACTTCGGCGGCAAAATCTGAATCCAAGGAAGAGTAAGGAGGTTCAGATTTCTTGGATCTAGAGTCCTTCACCGGACAGCTTCAATTCCTTGGATCAGGAGCGCTTCAACGGCATTAAGGAAGGTAGGGCAGAAAGGCACAAATTTCGCTACGCTTCCCTAGATATTGTCGTATAGTGGAGCCCACGAGGCCAACATGGCTGGGTACGAGAACCCGGGCTGGGTATCTTTGCTAAGTGGTCGTCTATAATCACTAGCCCACATCACCCAAATGTATAATTTCAGTGAGTTCACCTTGTTAAGGTTTACTGCGGATTTCGCGCGGTCTTATGCGCACGGTGCCACCGCCAATAATTACAAGGTGGCACCTATAATTACACGGTGACACCAATTATTACGCGGTGTCACAGCCTGTAATTAGAGGATGCACCACATATAATTACACGGTGCCACAGTCTAGTACCACAATCTCTAATTACACGGTGCCACAATCTGTAATTACACGGTGTCACCACCGCCTATAATTACACGGTGCCACAGCTCATAATTACACAGTTCCACATCCCATAATTACATGGTGTCCAGTCTATAATTACACGGTACCAGAACCTATAATTATACTGTCCCAGTCTATAATAACACAGTGCCACAGCTTATTACACGGTGCCACAGCAAATAATTACACGGTACCACAGCTCATAGCTACACAGTTCCACAGCCCATGGTGCCATAGTCTATAATTACAGAATACCAGAGCCTATAATTACATTGTCTCAGTCTATAATAACACAGTGCCAGAGCTTATAATTACACAGTAACAGAATCTATAATTACACGGAACTACAGCCTATAATTACACGGAACCACAGCATATAATTACACGAAATCACAGTCTATAATTATACGGTGTCACTGCCAATAATTACACGGAACCACAGTCTACAATTACATGAAACCACAGCCTATAATTATATGCTGCAGCCTATAACACAGTATCACGGCCTATAATCATATGGTACATAATTTAAAGGAACCATAGTTTATAACACTGTGCCGCATCCTATAATTGCACGGTACCACAGCCTATAACTACACGGTGCCACAGTCTATAATTACATAATAACTGCTTATAATTACTCGAAACTACAGCCAATAATTATTCGGTGCCACAGTGTATAATAATACGATGCTATGGCCTATAATTACACGGTGCCACAACCTATAATTACACGGTGTCACAGCGTATATTAATACGATGCCAAAGCCTAATTACATGGAACTGCTGTCTACAATACAGAGCCTATAATTACATGGAACTACAGTCTATAACAGAACCTATAATTACATGGAACTAGGGTCTATAATACGGTGCCACAGCTTATAATCACACGGTGCTTCATTCCATAATTATACGGTGCTACTGCCTATAATAATACGATGCCTCAGCCTAAAATAACACAGTGCCACAGGCTATAATTTTACGGTGCCACATCTTATAATTACATGGAGCTACAGCCTATAATCATACAATGCCACAGTGTATAATTATGTGGTGCCACATCCTATAATTACGGGGTGTCACAGCCTATAATCACACGGTGCCACAGGCTATAATTACACGGTGCCACAGGCTATAATTACACGGTGCCACAGGCTATAATTACACGGTGTCACAGGCTATAATTACACGGTGCCACAGTCTATAATTACACTGTGCCACAGACTATAATTAAACGGTGCCACAGCCTATAATTACACATTAACAGAGCGTATAATTACAAGTAACTGCAGCCTATAATCACACGGTGCCACAGACACAACCATGGTTTTTGATAGTCACTGAAATTTTCACTTGTTTTTTAAAATCTCACTTCACTTGAGATAGCCGAGGTGTGTGTGTGTGTGTTCGGAGCATGGAGGTACTAGGAGTAGGTGCTAGGAAGCTTGCACAACCTGACAAGGGGAAGTACTAAATATCTAACCTGATAGGTGTGTGCTAGGAGCAGCTGCTAGGAACCTGGGGTAACCAGTACAGGAGAGAGAGAAGATTGGTACTCACCCAGTACATATCCTGCGGTGACCCGGTGTTTCCGTATAAACCCATCAGTTAAACCAGCTCCACGCGCCGCCTCCACTGTCTACCCTTCTCCTGCCTCCACTCAAACCAATCTTAGCATCACCTCTGCATTTATCAAACTTTTTTCCCCCCTTCTAATTCCCGTCCGCTTACATATTTGTTCTCGGATTATCACACACCAACAGTTTTCGGCCGACACACGAGTGTTGGCGCACCCACAACGCTCCCACTACGCACGGCCAAGCGCAACTGTTTACAAAACCACTCCAGCGATTCCAGCCAACCAGGCGCGGGGAAGAGGCGTGGCCTCTCCGCGGCCATCCAATCAGGAGGCAGGAAGGCGGAGAGACAGCGATGCTGATTGGTGGAGAGTAGGGGCGTGGCTACACGGCGAGACGTGTTGTAAACACCTCCGGTGAGGTGGGCGGGGCGTGTGTTGACGTGTGCGGCCACTCCGCAGGCAAGAGGGACATATGTTCGGGAAATATGTCTCCTCCCAATGAAAATGATAAGTATTACGGGCATTTGTGGAATTAAAACGGAAAAGTTGGTTCTAGAGTGAAGTCCTAACGAGACTGGCTGTGGAAAAGAAGAGAAAGAGAGAAAGTAATGTTCATATGGCGCTCATTGGCATAATGGAGGTGTGCTTTTTTTTAAATAATAATATTAATAATGTTGTAAAAAGAAGGAAGGGTCCAGTGATGTAGCCTGGGTTGTCAAGTATTGTTTTAGTGGTCAGAATGAGAGACGGGAGACGGGGGGGGGGCACAGTCTCTCCTAATTGTTCACATATTTTCCGTCTCTCTATAAACACTGATTTTTTTTTTTAACTCCAAAATTTATTTACGAATGTTTTCTTCATTCGTGATTGTATTTACGGTATTTTCATCCTCATATTTTCGTAATGTGTAAATATTATGTTAGTGGGACTCGGGTGCGTGTTTCTGGCTACCTTCCTTCCTCAACAACCACCAATATTGATGTGACAGAATAAATCAATGAGAGAGCGGAGGGGCGGACGACGTATTACCAGACTGAGGATCGAGCCTACACTACTACATGCATTAAATGACCCCCTAAGGCTTTAGTGCTTCACAAAACATTCAACATATGAAGCAATGTCGAATTTTTTTTACTGCAAAAGCCTAAACAAATTCATATCTGGGAAGAGGAAGGCCATTACATCACCGGACGGAGGATCGATCCCACACAAGTCCACACAATAATAACCCGTACTGCTCTAGTGCATCATATAAATATATATTTGAAGAAATCCATAAAGTGACTTTTGTGAACTACAAAACTTTCACTTGATAAAAGCAGATGTTTATTAAAAAGAAATGTATAATTTTTTTCTATTTTCTATCATTTCATGGTAAGAATTCATATGGTAACCCCTGCAGGTTTAGTGCTTCACCATAGTTACTAAAACAAAAACTTCAATAATAATAATACTACTAATATTAGTATTATAATTATTATTATTGTTATAATTATTATTAATAAAAATAATATTATTATTATTATTTATTATTATTATTATTATTATTTATTATTAATTATTATATTATTATTATTATTATTATATTATTATTATTCTGTGACTGTCTATAGTTTAGTGAAAACAGGAATATAAAAACTGTAAATGTCAGAGGGACAACCCGATTCTTCGTTCCCATTTTAATTTTCCTGAAGTGTGTTAACATTGATTTTCCCTGGTTTATTGCTCTCCTGGTTTAGAACTACACGAGGGTCACTCAGGCTGAATGTTAACTGTAAACCACCAGTCAAGAGTAACTTTATCCCTAAATGAGAGATAAAGGAAAACTTTCAGCGTATACGCACAGGTGAGTATCTCTGTGTATATACACTGAGAGATACATACCTCTCGATGTATATACGATGAGATATATACTCTTTTGTACAGGCACTGAGAGAGACATACATCTCGGTGTATATACACTGATACATATACACCTCTCAGTGTATTAGAGACACGGACCTCTCAGTGTATATACACAGAAAGGCATACACCTATTAGTGTACATATACTGTGAGACACCCTCACTCTCGGTGTAGATACACTGGGAAATAAAACAATGATCGTTACATATACACTGACAGATACACGGCCTTCTCTATATACAAAAACGGAAAATACCATTTCTAAGTGTATATATATATGCGATTCCACTTGTCTATGCATTACTTGATACACCCTTGGGCGTTATAAAAACCAAACCAACACACTCCCGGGGTGTATATTACGGGGACATCTCCATTGTATATGTACTGAGTCATAAAAAGCAACCAGTGTATACCCACGAAAAAAAATAACCCTGTATATATAACTGAGAGATGCATCTAGGATATTACACTGAGAGACATACACTTCTTCATATATATTTTAATATATAAAAATTTTTATTATATAAATATAATATATTTATATATAATTCACCCCCCCAAAAACAACACAAAACACCACACACACACAAAACCCCCCCAGTGGATACACACTGGAGATACACTCATCTCGGGGGGGTTGGAGGGGTCAACGCCCCTGGGGCCCCGGGCCCCACGCCAGGCCACAGGTGGACCAGGGCCTGATCAACCATTGTTACTCACCCACGCGCAATCAATTACGAACCAAAAAAAAACCCGGCTGATCGGCACTACTTCAGGTATTACCCAGTTACCTTTTTTGAAGACCGATAGGGGTCTTTTGGAAATTCCCCATTTTATGATGGGGGGACGTTAAAACATTTCCCAGTCCCCTGACATGTTTACTCACGCACCCGGGGTTTTAGTTGGGGTATGCACCGCTACCCAGTCTTGTGCTTTTTTAGGGAGTAATCACTAAACCTCTCGGTGTATATACGCTGAATTTTCACACCCCTTGTATTTTAAAATGAAAATACACAAAAGACATACACACCTCTAAGTGTATTTCAGGAAAAAAAAACACACCTCAAGTTGTTACACGGAGACCATCTCTGTTTTTACACAGTGCGATACACACCCCTTCAGAACTTAGAGAGATACAAAGGTTTTGGCGTATACACACTGAAATTACCCTTTTGGGTTTTCCAGAGATGCCCCCCACCCCTTTGATGAATAATCACTGAAAAAAAAAACTTCACAGTCCCTTCACGATAAAACCTTGGGTGTATAAACTGAGGGGTACACGCATCCGGTGTTACACTGAGGGATACACACATCTCGGGGTTCACTGGGGATACCAATCTCGGTGTATACCTGAGGGGGTACAATCTCTCCAAAAAATACACACTGAGATTCCATCAGTGTATGCACACTTAATATACTCCATCAGTGTATACACATGGATATATACAACCTGTGTTTACAATTGCGAGATTTCTCAGTGTATAACATTAACAGTTTCCATTCGGTAAGTACACAATGAGAGAACACACCACTTTTATGTTTAAACCCTGGAGATTCGGTGTATAAACATTAATATTACTCGGCGTATACCACAAATTTTAAAACCACTAGGTAATATACCCAGTTGGGTGTACACACTAAAGATATACCCACCCCTCGGGTATACACGCTGAGAAACACACACCACACACACACACACACACACACAAAACACACAACACACACCCGTGGTGGAGACCTAGAACGGAACGGACAATCTGACAACAGCACGGCTTTTTGGGAAGGCAAAATCCTGTAACACGAACCCCTAGGATTCTATGCAAGGTAACGGAATAAGACAGGAGGAGAGGTGGTAGACTACTCTTGGACTTAAAAAGGCTTTTAAAACGTACCACACAAGAACTGGTTAAAAACTAGGGAGCAGGCAGGTTAGGGGGGAAGTACAAAAAATGATCAAGGAATATTTGACAGGAAGGAAGCAAGTGTGTCAGTCCGAGTCGAGGTGTCATAGGGGTGCATGTTTCGAGTGGGGTTTCCCAAAAAGGTTACTTCTGGGCCCGGTTTTTTCCTTTCATGTGAAAAATGGGGGAAAAGGGGACAGAGTAAAAGGGTTCCCTGTTGGCAGCAGTGTAAAACTAATGGGGAGAATAAAAGCGGACGAGGATCGGTAAGCCTAAAAGGGGAAACCCGGGACGGGGCAAGCTTCGTTGACAATTGGCTTCTGGGGTTTAAACCCCAGCAAGTGCAAAGTTAAAAAGCGTGGAAAGGATAAAAGCCCGCCAAAGAGGTCGAGGCTGAAAAACTCCTAAAAAAAAAAATGATTTTGGGGGGGTGAGATCATACCGAGCAATCTGAGGCCTTATCAACCAAAAAATGTGCAGCATGGGGCGCCTGACAAACTTGAGAATAGCGTTTCGTCATTCACGACACTGTAATGTACGTTAGCCCATATAGCAGCACCAGATGGAACCCTACCTGGTCAAAACGTCAAGAAATTTGAGAAAGGTTGCAACAAGCTAAACCCGGGTAAGGGGTATGTTCTATGAGGAGAGGTTGAAGGAACTCAACCTGACAACATTGGAAGAAAGGAGGGATAAGGAGGACATGATAACAACACATAAAATACTTACAAGAAATGATAGGGTGGATAAAAACACAGTTTCAGAGATGGGCACCGCAAGGGGTCACCCCTGGGAAAGGAAAAACTCAGAGAGTCACAGGGTGTTAGTAAGCATTTTTTCAGCCATAGAGTTGTTAGGAAGTGGAATAGTCTGGAGAATGATGTAGTGGAGGCAGGATCCATACATAGCTTTAAGAAGAGGTATGATAAAGCTTACGGAGCAGGGGGAGGCGGACCTGGTTTACCATTGAAAAGGGGGGGGCAGGGGCTATGAATGACCCCTGCAACCACAAATTGGTAAATCACACACCAGGAGCTATGACTCAAACCCCTTTCAACCCCCATATAAGAGTACCTCGTCTCGAACCCCAACAACACCACACGCTCCTTACCACACACCCCTTAACCTCTACACACCCCTTTAACCACACCCCTTTCACATTAACAATTAAACGTGGTGCGTTTATAAACACGATACTTTGAGTGAGAAAAAATGAGCCAGAAGTTAGGCAAGAACACGTGAAGTTAAAACCAAGAGTTTAGAGAAAGTGGAGAGATGAGTCGTCAGCGACGGAAGAGAGAATCCGTAAAGAAACAGAAGTAAGAATGAAAGAAATAATCAGTGTTATATGAGAGGTGGCGGGAAAGAAAACCCCAGGCGGAAAAGATAAATATAATTAATGAGGAGGAAGAGAAGAGGTAGAATTATCTGGTC